TATGGCTGGATAATCAGGCATCTTTCCTTTTCTGAAGTACAATAATTTCTATTTCTGAGTTTAAAGAAGTGCCACAATGCTTCTCTAATGATCACCTAATGAACGTGGCAATTTTTTTCGGCGGGTCGTCTGGCCATGGCTTTTTTCCTTGGTTAAATAGTTCATAGAGAAGCTGAAGTTGGTATAAGTTCAAATGCGATTCTTCAATATTAATTATTTGTTCTATAATTCCAAGAATTGTCACTTACCACTCCAAAGCTCCAGACGTCACTTTTCAATGACCACAACTGCGGCCGCTTCAAGCATTCAGGTGCCATCCATCTGAATGGCTGGACGATCAAGAAATGTTCACATCGACGCAGTATTTGATGTGAAGTTTTGCTCATTGGCAATCATGAATTGTTATTTCCAACCAGAAGATTAACAGTACATCAATGTTGGTATTCACATCGACCATTGATAACAATGATTAGAAAATTGATGATAAAACGTTGGTTGTTTAGAGTTCGGCTTTCCACATTGATCAATCAATCCTAACGGAATGCGTAATGCGATCAACTTCATTGAGGATCATATAGGTGAATGATTCTCTCTGATTTTGAGGGAACACATGTAAAAGCGATCTTATTCGCCGGGGAGGACTCTGCATGAGAGTGTTCAGTATGCGTTCGAAAGCCAATAATTCAGGCTACAGCCTCACCTTTCCGGTTTTTTAAAACACCCATTTATAACGCTGTAACATTCAAAATAAAATCATGTTTTATAAAATTATGTTTTTTCTCTCTTATCTCTCCTATATCTCGCTAGACAAAATTCCTTTCTCAGAGTGCTAGCACTCAAACTCTATTGCAAGCTTCAATGAACCAAAAATACGTTTGATTTTGGAAAGTTCTTTGACTTTATTGATTTCTCTGATCCTTTGATTTGTGCTTTAAGCCTTGCCGGAGAGAGCTCTTTCTTCAGACTGTTAGTAATCAACTGATAGCGTAATGTTTCGTAAATCTAGCGATGTGCTTATCCTCTGTAAACGCAATTCAGCAGGGAAAATAAGATTGAGTTTTACATTTTTGGCAAGTTGCTTACTGGCCATTCGACGAGGTTCTGGCCTCGGCAGAAGGCGTGTCGTGGACCGGGGCAAGGCAGGACGGTCAACACATTGTTTTACATTGGGAATTTCTCCACCGTTTTAAAAGAAACTTCTGACAACACGACTTTCTAAGATACTACGAAAAATCTCCCACATATTGATATACTTTTCGGCTGCCAGCGAACTATACGCGTGATAGAGATCCAGGCGAAAGGAGAGTGTGGAACATAATTTTGATCTGGATGCTATAGCGATATGAAGGAGTGTTCTGAAAAACCGGCGGTGTCGGACTGTAGTCTCAAGTCTCAGCTTTCGAATGGATACTAACATTCCTTTGATAATTCCTCACCGTCGAATAAGATTGGCTTTTCATTTAAATGTTCCCTTATAGTCAGAAAGAACCAGGTGTATGTATGCATGCTTTCCTCATACGAATATTTGCCGGGCGTGCTGATGACAAGATCAGTATTTTCTCTCAGACAAATTTCGTACACTAATTTGCCGACACCGAAAAGATGAAAGGCTTGGTGAGGTTGCGGCGCTAAGTACTCATGTGCATTACAGGCAGCTTCAAGCACTGAAACAGGCTGGTACAATTTTAGACAAGTACTGTAGCCACAGAACTTTCTCACGAAGTATTTTTGATCGAACAGACGCGAAATTAGATAGACGCATTCCGGTTTATGGCATTGAGGATACGTAGAGAACAGAAACCATTTTGCCGTCTCAATTCAAAGTATGCAAAAGTTAGAACACATAAAAGAATACTGTAAGAAGAGGAGAGAATTAGCATTGGCGGAAGTGGGAAAAGTTTGAAAATGAATCGGGGACTTTCGTCAACAGTTGACTAATTAAACTATGACGATCTAGTCAATGGCAAACCCTCGGTGTTTGCCTCAAGAATGGCAATCAAGCAGCTCGTTTCAGCTTTCACTGAAACCCATCGCACTAATACGGCCTTTGAGAATCTACACATTTACCATCTAACGAAAATAGTTGTATTTTTATATCCGACATATTGATATCCCAACGGTGAGGGCCATAGAGCATGTGAGATCTATTGTCATTTCAATAATGAGGAACCTCCAGCATTGGAAGCACAAAAGTCATGAGAACCTACCATCAGCGCTCATCAACACCGCTGAAGCTACTCTGACTACTTTACAAACTGATTCGGAAATAGTTGATGCGATGTGATAACGCCATGGCCACGCATCGTTCCACTCTTCATTCTTGCAAGAACACTGCGAATGACGCATATTAGTACGTACCGCAAAGGAATTTGCTCCAGTGGTGGTTCGTCGTTGTCACTGTTCACACCTTTGATGTCTTCTGCCATTTTTGATAAACCAAAATCCGAGATCTAAACACCATCGTTCTATGATTTATGGGCTAATAATCACTTCACTGGAAGGGAATATTGAATGACATAAAGAAAATCAACTTTTATGAGTCCTGCGTCTGAAATCAGACAGTTTCTAGCTGCTAGATCCCTATGCACACATGATTTTGAGTGCAGATAACGCATTCCTCGAGCTGCCTAAATGTGTGTTTCAACATGATGAGGTACGTTTTTAGTTAGAGTAAACGCACTAGGCCTTACCTCCAATGCATAGCAAATCAATTCATTTACTTCGATTCTATCTTGATAGCGTTGCAAATGTTCCTGCAGATTCCCACCCGGGCTAAATTCCATAACTATCATTACCGGGTAGTGATCACATGCCACACCATATAGCTGAACAGCGAAGAGGTTAATTTGAAGGTTCGGTTCGACCTGATCTGCATTTAGTGCGCTAAAACCTGCACAGTTCACGCAGGTAAATCATAATCGTAACATTTTATAAAAATTTAAATTGACGAATGATTGTATGACCAGCAAATAAACCGGTTGTCAGCGATTGCTATCACTTTTTCTTTCACGCAAATAAAAAACTACCGAATAGTGGGAAGATTCATCGGATAAAGAGTAGAATTAACAAACAGCGCTATTTGCGGTGTCCGGTCACATCAGCATCATGAACGTGCGTATCATATTTCTCACCATTAAGAGAATCAGAGCGCAATGAACGTTTATTTGCTCAATTTTAATATGCGTGATAATCATTTTTTGAGCCATGCATGTAGCCTGTTATAGAGCAACCTATAGAACCCAAAACACGTGTTTCGACGTTGACAGTTTCGTCAGTCGGGCGATACCCTTCGGCTCTAGCCAATCTTCTCGGGAAACCCACTTTGTAACACACTGTTAGAATACTGTTGACTGAGTGATGTTACCATTTAGAGGTACGTGTAAAAAGGTCGTTGTCGGCATTTATTTACAGGGGTTGGGTTTCCCCGAGAAGATTGGCTGAAGTTGAAGGGTACCGCCCGACTGACGAGACTGTCAAAGACGAAACAAGTGTATCGGTCTCTATAAGATGCCTTATAACAGACCACATACATGGCTCAAAATATGATTATCAGGCATATTAAAATTTGTGCGTGACTCAAAGAAAATACTTCAAACTAAAGGTATGCTCAGTATTAGTGAACATACGATATTTTAAGGTCCTTCACATGTGAGAAAATTTCCGACATAGTGGCACAGAAAAGAAAGTTGGTAAGAAAGTGAACAGGTACATGTTTGTAGGTGTGAAGGTAAGATCTTCACTATTTCAGAGTTAAGAATCGCAGTGCTTATCACGATATCATCCATATCAATGCTTGAACCACCTGTATAACGTGCTTGTGGACGTAGTAACTCATCAGCTGCGCCTCGTGCATCATTGACTCTCTCGCCTTCTTCGATTCTTCCGTAAAAGCAGTAGACGCTCCATGACAGATCTGGAACACACTATGTTTCGTTCTAGTTGCTGTGTACAATGCGTGGTTTTCTTCTTGAATACAAGGTTTTAGAAAGCGTTGACGTCGATTATACTAAAATCATTCACAGAAATGATAATCCATCATTTGATGTGAACAATGCTTTTTTGAAACCTTTATCGACCCGATTTTCCAGTAAAGGCGAGCACCACTCATCATATCCGTCCGAATGGGGAGGACAAGCTGGGAGTCATGACCCCACCGTCTACGAAGGGTTAACCTTAGCGATATTAATCCTATACTTGAGATTACCTACCAGAATAGTACACTCTTTCTTGATACGTAACGTTTGAACGAAATTTTTATAGGAACTTGCATAAGCATCGTAATATATCGAATATCTTATGTTTGACCGCTTTTTAGCGGTGGTATGGTGTTTCAGATATACACAGTGATGAAGAGCAATGTGCGTTGACGGTTGGTGGTTGACAGATATCAAGTCTCCAACTAAGTTTTCGAATTTCGTCCAACAATTCAAAAATTTGTTTTTCTAAAAGATCGGAAGTATCAAATTACATTAGCTGAAGTATTAAGCGTCATTTCTTGCCTGCATCTTTCAAAATCTTCCGGATCTGCTCGTCTGAACATTGGAAATTATCGGTCAAATCACCGGTTGACAAAGTCGGATGTTGTTCAATTGCTTCAATGATTGCTTCGCGATTGATTTCACGCGGTCTTCCGTATCTAGGTTGATCGGCCAAATTAGTATCTCCATTGCAAAACTTTGTCGAACCATTCATACGCCGTAATTCTACCCACAACTTGACGGCCTTTTGCACGATCGATGTTGTCAAATGCAATTCAAAAATCGTGCCTCAAGTGAAACTCGTGAAGCAGTAAGTTGCGGATGACTTCCCATCACGGTCCCATTGTTGGACAAATATGTACAAAAATATACCAAACGTTGCGCAAGAAAATTCTGCACAAAGTAAGTAGAAGAAAAATTTGTTTTTGTGGGGAAATTTTGTCTTGAGCTCAAGTTTGGAAGCTTAGTTGGGAACCTAATACCTATTGCTCTGCAGCGTAGAAAGAGAGGTGTGCAAAATGGGCGTCAGTAGTGCAACGTGACAGAGCACGTGCTCCCTGATCGAGTGAGATGTGGGTTCGAGCCCCGCCTGACGCAAAGTTTTGCACGTCACTCTACATCATCGAGTACATCGTGATATATTTGCAACTAAATTGTATATTTGCTCGATAAGATCTTTAGCTCTAGCAAATCAGAAAGTTTATACTGAAGCATTGTGATACGATTGCCACAGAATATCGTAACGTATGTGGATCGGAAGTGGCTTTTCTATGTTACGATTGAGACTTCTTCTGTGACGTCGATATTTCCCGTCGTTAGTTTTCTCTGGCTGAGCTTTTGGATAAAAATCCGTAGCTCTTCAGACTGCTCACTAATGAGAATAAGCGCGGCCATTTGACGGCTAACCATTGGAGCAAAATCTAATCTTAGGCATTCCCTTATCTGCATCTGACGACGACGAGTACGACTTCATATTTTTCAAGAAAATATTTGAACTTTATTTTGTCTGAATTCTTCGATTATATAGACCAAATGTCCCTTGGTGCTGCGAGGTCTGAACCACAACGAATCTTTCAAGAACAATCACTTGACTGTTGATTACAGCAAAGGTAACTATAGCAGTTATTCCCCCGAATAACTGCTACTTCCTTACCTCTTCTACGCTTATCCTATCGCATATCATCATATAGTTAATATTTTAATTATAGATAATGAAAAGGTCAGGCAATGAGTCACAGCCTCGGTTAGCGAGCTTGGTCGGCGGATGGACAGTTTTTGTGGCAGGTGGCAGTTCGAACGGTTACCAGACAAAAGAACGGGGTCAAAAACACTTTAGCGACGGACAAGTGCACGCCTCCGATAACACTTAAGTCGCCTCAAATGGTTTTGAAGCAGCATCGCTTTCCAAACACTTACCTTATATTCTTGGATAATCTTAGTTATACACCATCCCATTAGTCTCTTCTTGTCCATTTGAAAGTAAGCACAACCTCCAAATCACTCCAATAACACTCTCAAGCTTCCTCAGTCGCTATCAACTTTATTAAGTTACCCTATTGATCTCTTAAGTACCGCTTCACCTCCTAACCGCATCTCCAACATCTCACTCACCTAAATACTCACCAAACATAAGTCAGTAATCAGTTCTTATGTTCTTGGTCTTCAGTTCGTGCCTCAGATGCCTCGTCGAGGTCGCCAACATCCGATCTCATTGCTTGCTCTCTTGCCTTATCTTATCTGGTCATCTCTACATTGCTAAGCTCATACCAAAAGCATGCTAAGCTGACTTACTAAGTGATCTACATAGTTCTGTACTGCCATATCAGTCCACTTCATAAACACTGTGTTAGGTTTAGCTTCATTCACATAATCCTACCCATCTGGATGTGGAACTTATCCTGCTTCTCATTGAGTCACTCTCCAATGTCGTTCTCAATCGTCACTTTGCATTGTTTCATGAGTAACCCAACATAATGCTCAGCTATGGTTGCCTTTGATGCTACTGTATCTCATCCCAGACCCTCACATCACATCATATCAGCAGCTGTCAGGCCTCAGGAGTCGTTGTTGCTCACCCGATCTTACGTACATGATTCTATAGACCTGCTTGTCTCTGATACTCTATTATTGATCGCATATTACTATTCTGACTTGTGAGCACATTTATCAAGATCGTTAGTTGTTTTTGCTGTTTTGTTGTGTTGTATACGAAGTTTAATTACCCAAATTTGAGGCTCTTTGATCTACGGCGGAAAGGACTCAAAAAGTCCCGCTTGGCGAGATTTACAAGGCGAGCAAACTCCCGAGTCAGTTCAGTTACCTTGATCGCAACTTGAACTTCATCGTTTGGTTCTCTTTCATATCTTCCTTTGTATACGTTACTGAAATTTCCAGAACCGATCAAATCCTAAAATGTATGAGTTAGTTTTCGTAGCTCTTCGAATAATTTCGGGCATTTTTTTCACCTAATGTTTGCAGTGCCTATGGTGGGCTAATTTGGTACTTGACATAACTGTAAAAATTGCACGAAGGTGGGGTATCACATAGACCTTGTCGCAGTGTATCAGGAAGCAAGGTGATGAGCGAGGCGCTAACTCGATTCTTCCCTTTAGAGGTCTTTTGCAATGATCAAAATAAACGCCTAAACGCCTTAGCTTGGCTGCATCTGGGACTGCACGGAGATTCGTCTTCGCCAATATTCTTCGTCAATCATAATGACGACAATATCCTCAATCAGCAGCCAAAGCAACACGTAAAATATCCGAAAACCGTTGTGGAGCAGATTGTGACGAAACAGATCGAAAGCAAGAAGTACTGGAATCCACACAGTAGGCTGTGAATGCCGGGTCGTGTATAAATAGGGAAAAACGTTTCTACAAGGAGCAAGGCACGAGATTTTTGTCTTTAGCCGATGTACATCAAAGCCTAACAGCAGAATCAATTATTCCTGCCACTCCCATTTTCATTGATCTAATTCTGTCGCAGCAATTTTTTGAGTTGACAATAATCTATGAGGTCTAGATGTCGTGTTTTGCACTTTTTTCTACATATAACTCGAGCTAAATTCTCTTTGTAATTTCTAAATTTTCTTTCTAGGTTGGTTTCTTGTAAGGACAATTTTATAATCAGTTTAAAATGCTATACGAAAAATAAATAAACCTTCTGCTTGTCGAATTTGCATGCAGCATGTTTGATTAGCCATTTTGGTCTATGAACTGGTTTGGCCAACCTCAAATGTCCAGGAAGCTCATGTCGCTGAAACGTGGTTATCATCGATCACTTTTCTATAAATTATACTACACACTAATCGGAAGTCAAAGATAATCGTGATAAATTACTACTACACTGGTTCACTACAACTCATCCTACTAGCAATCGCCTGTTTTGTTGAATTACAGAAGGCGGGAACGAAACTGCAAATGTCATCGTAATAATTTTAGCATTCCAATTCTTGACAAATAATTCACGGATGGACTCTACGCTGAAGTGCCCTTGGGTATATAAGTTTCTTTGGTCTTTTAAAGTCAATCTTAAACCCAGTTCCCATTTCATGAACCAAATACTAGAACGATCATTTCAAAAAATCAATCTGCCGAGCCTTTGGTGAATACTAAATAAGTACTGATTTGAATGCGGCGTTGTGAGTGGACGTAGGTTAGGCCTTAAATCAGATTGTTTTTCATCCTTCATCTATGGAAATTGCTAACCTGGTAATATTCCACGAGCTCTACTACAGAATCGAATCGGGGGCAGTTCTTTTTCTTAGACAATGCGCCGAGCGACCATTTCGAGTTCTCGAATCTAAACAAGACATTATTCGGAGCCATGAAATATCACAGTTATCTGCTTCTTCTTCCCTACTGTATGTAGGAATCATCTTGATGTATTAGAAACTTCAACGCATTAGGAATCGTTTTCATTTATTTCAACTCCTTTTCTTAGGAATTACTTTTTAGAGTTATTTTATTTGCAATTTTATTGTATAACTTTTCTAACCATTTTTAATTGCACATTGACATATATCAACTGATCAGAAAAGCAGGGTATTCTATTATAGGAAAAGCGCACATTATGAACAGAGAGCTATCTGTTCATACGAACCAAAAGGACCGTAATAATGAAGCGCAGCCCAAGCTGACGCGAGTGTGTTAACAGTTGATGCCGTGTTGATAGTATCGCTCGACTGCTGACGTATCGGCGGTTCGGCCATCTTCAGAGCGGTTTTAAAGGCGCATGACATAGCTGTTTATTGGAGGCTGAAGCTCTCGATGTTGATCAATCCATGAGGGAAGCGCCATGCAATCGCCTTCGATTTATAACTCCGTTTGAGGTGATGAATGCATATCCGGCCTTTACAGTGACTCGCTGTGGCCTCTCGCTATGTCGAGTGAGTGTTTCTTATCCTCCCAAACAAGCCTGGTAGCAATTTACCGACCGCGGAGGGATCGATGGCTTGTGAGCCACTAGTGCGAGATTGGACCGTGTGCGATGCAGTGCGCCTCAACCACTGAGCACCGCGCGCTTTTGCCCTTTGTTAGTTGTGTAAAAGCTGTCTTACACCTTACATTACTACTTTGAAAATGACAAAGTCACCAAAACGTCATTTAACGGACAACAATAACAACAACAACAAACAGATGACTAACAGACTCAGAAACTTGTTTCGAAATGTGTAGCGTAAATGTGTAGCGCATTGGTAGAGATGCTGCTTAGCGCATACAAGACTGTGGTTTTATATCGGTTAGCCGAACATCACTACGGAGGAATGACGGGAGCACTAGAGAGCTCTTATATCCTCGACAAGAATATCGGGTAGAATAAAGGCGAATATCACTCATGCTGAGCAACAGGTCTATATGAAATCGCAAAAAGTCGAGTGGTTGTTGATTGGCACTCAATGCAAACGTGATTACGAGATGGACAGTCTTCGACAGCAATTAACAACAAAATAGCGAAAAATGAGCAAAAAGATAACAACACATGAACCTCTGTTTGCACAAACTTCTTTTACTCTATGCGTGGTGTTCAAATAGGAACTGTTCCACTTTTGATACTTAACAGGTTTACACCAAATTTTTTGCTCTCTCAACGACCTATGGAATTGAATGGATTTGCAACCTTTCATCTCATTTTTTCAGCCCATCAAAACTTGAGCATTTTTCAGATTTCGAAAGTGAAGAACGTGGTTTTTGTTGAATATTCCACAGACGAGCGCTGCTACTCACCGTTGTAGTACCGAGGAGCGTGACCTGACCTGTCTTAGAAGGTATCAGAAGAAATTTAATGCATTACTAAGTAATCGGAAGTCGTTTTATGAGCCAGATATGCATTCAGTCACCTTCACGATAACTGTGATAAGTCGGATGCATGGTGCATTACTAGTGAGGAATCAATATCGGACGCTTTGCCCTTTTGAATCCAACAGAATGCCTCCGGTCATTATTTGCAGTACTCTTTCATTCAGATTTCATTTATTACTTTCTTTTGGAATTCCATTAGTGCAAGAGAACTCAGTTGAAATGCTGCAATTAGCCGGCATCTAATTAGTGGGTTTTCATGGATATTAGATTTAATTACAGAGCTTCCAGAAGGAAATGTATCTAGTGAAATTGATGAAAGCACCATTTTATGTTTTAGAACTTGGCAAAAAACTGTAGGTTCACGCTATATTCGATTTTCGCTCAGACACTTTCCAGGCTTTCTAATTTTCTTTTTACTTCAATAATAACCTCAATTTATTGGGAAACATATGTTTCATAAGTGGAAACGGTCACTGCCATCATTTCTAAGGAACTGCTACCATCATTCAAGCGATTCATTCGTTCTGCTCCCCTTGTACATGAACGACTCCGCATTAACGTTAGCTCATAACGAGTCATAATTTCTCTATCGCTGAGTTTTCGCTTTACATCTTTCTGACGATCCTCATTACTTGTGGTGTTTCCAAGGTACAACATCTGATATTTTCCGACTCGCTATGATATCTGTGGAAATCACATCGGCCACAGGTACCGCAGTTTGGAAACTGCATTCCATTTTCGTTATATATATCCAGTAACAGGAGCGCATATGGCGCAGTGGTTAGAGATGCCTGATTGCATACAAGGTCGGTGGTTCGATTTCGCGTTGATGGCTCACCAAGCCATCCATCCCTGCCGGTTTGATAAATTGGTACGAGACTCGTCTGAGAGGATAAGCAGCACTGATTCGATACAACGGTGCGTCACCGCGTGTACAGGTGAGATATGCACTCAATGACATCAAGTGGCCCATCCCTCATGGAGTAGTTTACGCTAAGAGCTTAATCTTTCAACTTTTATATTCAATCATGCTGAGTGATATGCGAAACTTTTAACGGCGCCAGACAGGAATCGAACCCGCTTTTCATCCTCTCAGGGGGTGCGTGCTAATCAGTTGCACTACCGATGTTCCTGTTCTGCCATCAAATTTCGCTGTATAAACAGATTTTTTTTTCGTTCTAGAAACATTTCTTTGCCTTTTCTATCCTATGCATGTCCTTCTATACGCATTTCCATGTTCTTGGTGCATCAACCTTTCTCTGTGAAGGAAAACAGTTGTCCTCTATGCAGTCATATGGTGCGAGTATTTAATGAAGCTCTATAAGTTCTTCAAGGAACAGCAAAATGTCTACCGTTTAGTCTCAATTGGTTTTCTTTCTAGACATTCCCCAGAAGCCATCATGGCGACTTAAAATTGAAGGAAATAATTCTTTTTTGTCAAAAATGACACTTCACGGTGCATGTGTGTCATCTCATGGAGACAGAGATATTATTGCGGTCTTTTATTTGGCTACACACTCTAGGCCGCACGTTCTTTCCACAAGCAAAAGTTTCTTGCCGAAAATGATTATGAAGTGGGAATTATGAAGGAAATACTCCCCCTGGAAGAGCTGCTGCTTGACATTTCGTTTGAATATGCAGATTATAGGATAAGTGAGGAAAAATTCATGTGAACCGAAATGTTTCATCGGAAAGAAAATGGCCTCTATCTAAGTCATAGGGGCTCAATGTATATCATTGTGAATGGCCTCATAGTGTCATGCCTTTTTTATGATCCAATCCTAACACCACAAGACAACAAACAACTACCGCACTTCTACGTCCCTGAGACTTTCGTTCAGATTTCTTTATCCAATCCAAAGAAGGATAAGATATGAGAGCAATAATCCTTAACGATGTTGTCTCACTCTATCATAAAATGTTCCCATTTATTTTTGTTGAGAGTTGGATGGCAACTTTTTATTCAATCCAACATCACGGACTGTGTAGAGGATTAATGAAGGCTAGGGGTGCTTTCATACACAGTATGCTCACTTTGCTACAAATAGTGCTCGAGTAAATACGGTCACTTTTGGATTCCGGAAGCCGAAGCGATATTGAAGTGTGAAGAGACGTTTAGCTTGCTATCGAAACTTTGATTACAAATTACTTGAGCGTAAGATGTGAGTATTCAAGTCGATCGTTTCGAAGAGATATGATTATCTCGGGAATTTCACGCGGATCGGTCGTCCGTACCAACCATTCACCTGGTTGTTTCAGTAGCGATCTGCAAGAATGCCAAATGTCAAATCGGCACTATACTTCGTGGAATCCCACTGAAATTTATCTTAGTACTTCGCGATGAACATCTGGATTCCTTATTTTCTTCTTTTCGTGTACTTTTGGGAAACGGGAGCTGAGAGCGAACGTGCAGCGCCACAATGAGGAGAGCTGACTGTATCGTTAACCAAAATTATGCTTCGTGCCGAAGATAATTGATCAGTTTACGGTGGGAGCAAATGGAACTGCTGTTGTTTCGCGCGAAAAGAGCGCACTCTGCACCTGATGAGACCGTCTTGGTTCCAAAAATCTAAAGTATTTTTTTCAGGAAATATTTTTTAACTGAGCGCTCTCATAGTTCACTCATTCGGAAGAATTTTGCATAGAATAATTCGTAGCTTTCACGATGTTCAGTCGCATCCATTTTTCATTAAAATCATTGCTCATTTGGGACTTATGAGCCATCCATTCACGACTCATTGAAGCTTCTCTCACTGTACATAGATATACACGTTATACTCGTACAGATGCAGCACAAATTTGTTTTGTCCTAGTGGAAATTTGAATTGTAAAAGTTATTCTCACTAATTTAACTCAAATCAGTCAAAAATTATTTTGTTATGTGAATTGATTGCAATCGCAAATCACACTTCATGAGCACCGTGACACATTCAGCAATTTGAGTCATATATGACTCGTACTGATCCTGAGATCTTATTGAGAAGAGGAATCAGTTACTAGAAAATCACTCACATGTAAATTATAAAGCTATCATGTATCGGATCTAGTATATCACTTGACTGATAACAGATCCCTTTGAGATGCCACGTTTGCGGATTCATTGTCGAGGCTCGGTCGTTCAAAGCTGCTTGCTCGTGAATAGGAAGCGTTTGCTGTCGATGGTATCGCAGAAGACTTTTTGAGTGGAGAAACTGCTCGCATAACTAACACTAACAATTGGAAAAGCTGACCCAAATCCTACTTGAGCCACCAGATCTTACGGAATAATAATACTCTCGCATTCAGTTGTTTTGATATTGCGAAATTGAAGACATTGAGTAGTGTTTTTTTTTTTATTTTTTCTTTCACACGACTAGTCATCACATTTTTTTGCTGTCCTTCTCACAGTCAGGTCGTTTCGCTGCATACATTCTCCACAAAGGCCTTCTAGCATCTGACGCTTTGTTTGAAGATTTTGCCTTCTTTACTGGTGTCATCAAATGCTGCTTGAGAATATTCCCCTTGAAATCTTGGAGGGAGACGAGCCAATGTAATCTTAGGCGCTCCGTCGACTGATTGCAAGGTGATGTTAGCAGAGAGGATCCAACCAGCGCATCGCTTATCACCTTGCTTTTGGATACATTGCATCACTAGCAACCATGATACCCATTCCGTTTATTCCTCACATATATATCGGAACACTCATTTTTGACTTGAACTAATAATAGTCGATTCTAGAAAATTGTCCAGTGTTTTCCTAAATCAAGCTAAACTTTTTGACTCAAAGAGCAACTCTTAGCCCCATCTCTGAATCCACTACAATTGCTTCATACTGTTATGGAGTAACCATACAAAGAATGAGTGAGCTAGACTGAAGAAATTTATGATTTCTTAACACATCTTGCTTACATGATATCCTGTCGTGGTCGCAGTCCGTAATACCATACTTGATCTTCCAAATTCTTTATAGCAGCCATTCCACTGACGAGAACGTTTGAAATGAGCCATACCATAAAGTTTGGTTGCTTTTATACACGTCTATAGATAGCTGATAGCTGATAAAGACTGCTTTCATAACAAAAAGCTGCTGCGTGACTTATTGCATTTTCCAATTATTTTCACGATTCGGCTTGAAAAACCCCTTGATTAGCATTTCAAGGGCTTCCTACAGTTAAATAGGCCTGACACACTGTTTGGAAAATACAAAAAGCCAGCTTCATGTGCAATTAAATTTTTAGGTGAAAAAAATTTTGCTACATCACTTTTGCTGAAGAAGCAAATTAATGAAATGGTAAAGCGTTCAACCGTAGTCGGTTGAACCTTGCAGATGACTTCTTTAACACATTCTGGTTGTATCAACACTGTAAACTCTGCACGTATGGTAATTATAGCTCTTCAAGATCATGTCTTAGAAGCTCTTGAGTCTTCTCTTTGCACTTCTTTCCTTTTGTGAAACGAAGAGACGAAGAGCAGAAATACGATTCCAACTACTTTGTCCGTCGTTCCAAAACTAAATGCTAATTATTATATCCATACTGAATTCATTGCATTAGTAACCAAGTTTAGAGTGACTGGTAGAGATTGGGTTAATGTTGAATAGAAATATATTTGGCCAAATATCATCTTGAGCCTAATGAAGCATTTGCATACACCAAGCGAGTTCGGTACTAACTGGCCGAACCCAAGAAATTGAAAGGTTTGATTACTGAGAATTTTGAGTCAAGCCAAAGAGCACGACAGCATTACGTGACACCTGGAGCAACTGCGTTTCACGTGTTCTCATCTAAGATGAGAAAAAAGCAGCACTACGTAAGGAGACTACCAAAAGATCCATGAATGAAAAACACAACAAGCTGTGCAGAACAAAGTTGATTCTTTTGCTTAGAGTTTCCCAAGCCTTGATCTAAAGGCTGTGCCACATGAGTGTCTCCTATGCGCTTACTGATTCAGTTGAATTTTGAATTGACCAAACAGTGACAATATTATTCTCTCTTCGTGACCTGTGACCACTTATGAACAAATCCTATTTGTGTTTGGCTTTATTATTCTGAACTGGAAATATGTTCTAGAAATCCAAAAAATGACGGCGGAAATAACTTCTTTCTCTTATAAGTCGTAGGTTCTAGAAAGAGTCATGAGACTGTTCGGAACTCCCATGCACGTCAATTTCATTTTTCTTGGTAATGTACTAGCAGCTGTCTCCTTGCAAATGCCGTGCTTTGTATAATATTCTGAATGAAGGCCTCGTTCTTACTGCTTTTCAACAATGTTATAGTGTCATAAATATATCATGCGATGAAGAGAAACTACGGTCTTTACACTGTTGAAATGCGCTTCTTGACATTGGAATATATCTAAATAAATGTATTATATTGTAAATCATTTAAATGCACATGTATAGTTTTATGTTCTATTGTTAATGACGTTACTTAATATTTGAATTACAATTCTTTGAGCATGAAAAAGATGTTCGTGTTTTTTGGTGCAAAAGAAATTACGGTTTCACACCGTCATTCCAGATTGTGTCGTAAAGCAGCAGAGACATCTTGCAACATGGGCAGCGCATTTAACCCAAGGAGTGCTCACTAAAACTATAATGATGATTCGAGAAGCTTAGTAAAGACTCATAGGGATTATACATGAACCGCAATTACATTTGCACTAACTCCATCATAAGTCATGGAAAGGGCAATAGTAGAGGCTGATCCTTTCGAGACTACACGAGATGTTACAGAGGAACTTAACGGCGACTATTCTGCTATTCTCGCAGTTCGGAGCAAACAAAAGTAATTGCGGTTTTGTCGTGGTCTAAACATTCTACGCCAACCATATATATCTAAGTGTATTGAGTGGTATGCAAAACACCACACCAGGTGGGAGTTTTCTACCCGCGTTCCACCCATACCGCGGGCGCGGTAGGAAATCAAAGAGTGGTAGCAAGCCTGTGATTTTGGTGGTGTGGTGATAGCTCACATTCCTCCTACAATGAAACATGAGTTCAACTCCTGGCTGGGGTCGAATATCTTGCATATCATACAAAATTCTCAAAATGCATATTTCGTTGCATTTTGATTCTACATCACAATCATCACATTTAGTTTCTGCTCGATGTCTTCGAGCATTGGGTGTTGTTTTGAGTGCTGCTTGAAA